GAGTAGCATCGACATATATACAGTACGGAACGTAAAATAGTTGGCTGGTGGGAAGCAGCAGCATAGCACAGGGAGATTGGCTGGGTGCTTTGCGATGACCTAGAGGGGTGGGACAGGGAGGATGGGAGGGAGGCTCAAGAGGGAGGGGATATGGGGACATGTGTATTCATATGGCTGATTCGCTTTGCTGTGCAATAGAAACTAACACAGTATTGTGAAGCAATTATACTCCAATAAAGATCTATTAAAAACAAATTAAAGTAGCTGAAAAAAAAGTTGCTACATATTTGACAAAAAAATTAATTCCCTTAATAAATAAAAAGTACTATTCAATAAGGAAAAGATAAATATTCCAAAGGAAAACTGGGCAAAGTACATTATATATATTCATTTGAAGAAGAAATACAAATTATGAATAAATGTGAGAAAAAAGTTTCACCTCACTACTAAACATGGAAATTCAAATTAAAACAAGGTATCACTTTGGCAAATGTTTATAAATGATAATGCCTAGCAGTGAGGATGAGAAAAAACAGGCACGTTTATATGCTCTTGGGAGAACTATCAACTGGCACAACTTTCTGGTGGGCAATTTGGCCTTATGCTTCAAAAGCCTTTAAAATGTTCATTTTCTGGGATCCAATAATCTCTATCACTTCTATGAATTTATCTTAAGGAGATGATTGCCTCTTACAGACTCATACACAGACTAATGTACATGGATTCAATGTGTCTTTAGTATGAGCAAGAAACTGGTAATAAACTGCATGTACAATAACAAAGGATGGGTTAAATACATTGTCTTCCAACAAAATAATTATTTTTATAATCACAGAAATGGTAATCATTATTTCTATGGTTTATATAATAATATCATGGAGTGTTAAATAGAGGGAAACACCTTTGGAGGCTAAGAAGTCATTTAGTCTTTCAGGTGTAACAGCATGAAGACAAAGGAGGGGGTGGTAAAAAGTGAGAGTTCAGAGGAAGAGAGAAATTTTCTAAACCAGTGCTGTGCAATATTGGAAACATTAGTCATATGTGGCTATTTAAATTTAAAGTTAAATAAAATTTAAAATTCATTTCCTTAGTTGCATGAGCCATATTTCAAGAGCTCAACACCCACAGGCGGCTAGCGGTTACAGTATCAGACAGGATGGACTATAGAATGCTTCCATTATCACAGAAAGTTCTATTGGACAGTGCTGCTCTAAACATTCTACCTCAGGCCTGGATCCAGCTTTTGACTCATCTCCTCAGCCTCACCTCTTGGTGCACTTTCCATCCTTCATGTTCCAGCAACAAGAGTATAAGCATCAGATGGGCGGAGACCATATTTGCCTGGTGCTCCCGGTCTAGTGGGGAGAGGGGTTACCCGGGTAATTATACACAGTGGTGTGTGGACTAGCAGTCAGTGTGTAGATTGTTGATACAGCACAGAGCTCAGGCCGGGGTTCAGGGAAGACTTCCCAGAGGAGGGGTCGGCGTTACCCAAAAAGTAAAGACAAGACTATTCTAAGTAGAGAAAAGAGCATGGTATGAGTAAAGGCACAGATGAGAGATAGCACAGCATAAGCGAATAATTACCAGCTGGTCAGGCATTTATTTACTCAAGAGATAGTAAATACCTGTGATGGGCCAGGCCTGAGCCAGCCTCCGAGGACAGAGCAGTGAACAGCTATGGTCCCTGTCCTCAGGATGCTTATACTCTCATCAGGTACTTCTGAAGCACCAAGGGTGAGGTGAGGTGACAAGGGCCTGGCATCTCATAGTAAGGGTCCCGTTTTTTATCCTAGCAATTGAACCCTCTTTTCTGCCACAGGGAGGGCCAGAGTCCCACTTCCTATCTTTCTCCCCTTCCTCTGCCCCAGTCCCCATCGCGGCCCTGGGAGATGGAGAGCTCCTGGGAGGGGGGAGGGGAGGTAAGGCATGGGAGGGGCACAGTGGACAGTGCAGTAAGACTCTTCCAGCGGCCAATGAGAATGTGGATTTGAGACGTGGAAGAATAAAGATGGGAAGTGTAGTTGGGGGGCTGCTGGAATATTCTAGAAGGGACCAGGGACTGAAAAATGGGAGGGCCCACTTCAGCGACGTTGGAGCGGGAGAAGACGCTCCAAGTTAAGGAAATGCCCTCTGAGGGAAGGGATCTCGCCGAGCAGAGGGAGCGCCACCGAGCACGGCGGGGGAGGGCGTGTCTTCCGGGCAAGGTTCCAGGGAGAAGAAGGACCCGGACACATCAGGCGAGTTCCCCAAGCCAAGGAAGCGGGCGGGAGGGGCACGGGCACCCCTGGCAGAGGAACGGCATCGGCGGGTCAGAGGGGCAGGAGGGGCCGGGCATGTCGGGGGCCACCGGCCAGGATGGGCGGGGCCATGATGCAGCAGGTGTGCGTTACCTGGGGAGCCAGGCTAGGAAGGCTGGAGCTGGCCTGGGTCCTGGGGCAGCTCAGAGGGACTCCCCGGGGAGGGAGACCTACCTCCCTTGGACTTTAGGGGGCCTATTTCCCGACCTTGTCCTTGAGCATTTACAAGAGGCGGGCAGGGCAAATTCTCCACAGCCCGAAATCCGCCTAGAGCCACGGCTTTGCTCGGGGCCTGACAAGGGACCGACGCTTTGGGGGCGTCTCAACGACGCTTTGGACCCGTCCAGTCGGGTCTGGATTCCCGACTCCCGTCAGGTGCTTCTCTGGGGCAACCCCCTCCCGCACCTGCCGCTCGGACAGCCCAGCCCCCTTCGACTCCCGGCCGCTGTGCTCAGGCTCCTCGCCAGATCTCTTCAGACAACCACCCCAGCCGAGACCCCTCCCCCAGCCGCGACCTCGCGGCCCTCGGTCCCTCAGACGGCCAATCCCCACGTGGCCGGCTCCCCACTTCCGCCCCTCCCGGCCGCACCCCTCCCGGGCCGCTGTACCTGGGGCTCTCGAAGCTGCACCCCCTGCGCCGCAGCGCCGCCCTCTTCTGCCGCAGGAGCGCAGCGGCCGCCCCGCCGGGCTCTGGCTCCATCGCCCCGGGCGGGGGCCGCGGGCTCGGGCGCACTCGGGTGGGCTCGGGCCTCGGCGGGGCTCGGCGGGCCGCTCGGCTCGCGCGCCGCAGCCCACACCCCGCCCCGCGCGCCTCTGCCCGGCCTAGGCCCCGCCCTGACTCCGCCCCGAACTTCGGTCCGGCCGCTCCGTGCCCCTCGGCGGGATCTAGGCCCCGCCCTGGACACGCCTTAAGGCTCAGTCCCGCCCACTCTGTGCTCCTCAGCCAGGTCCAGACCCCGCCCAACCCCGCCCCGAACTGCGGCCCAGCCCACTCCGCGCCTCTCAGCCAGGTCCAGACCCCACCCCAGCTCCGCCCCGCACTCCAGCCACGCCCCTCCCACACAGACCTCGCGGGGTTCCGTGTGTGGGCTGTCAGCACCTCTGCTAGGCCCACAAGCCTAAAATGCCACCCCGTCCTCAGCTCCGGACAGTCCACGGCCCTTCCCCTCCCGCTCCGTGGCCCTCAGCACCGACCCAGGCCCCACCCACGTACCCTCCCACTACTGAGCGCTCGCGCGCGGCCTCCGCCCTCACCCCAAGGGTCGGCTCCTCAGAGAGTCGCCCCTCCACATCTCAGTACCTCTCGGCCCTTTCTAACGTAGCACCGCCCCCTCTTAGGGCCGCCTTTCCCCGTGCCCCAACCATAGACAAGGCCCTGCTTTTTCTCTCTAAAGCGCCCCCTCTCCCCGCCTCGACAGTGCCGGCCAAGCTCAAGCTCCCAGCCCCGCTCCACCCAGCCCGGACAGTCCCCGCCCACAGCACCGCCTCCGCATGTGGCCCCGCCCACTCACCTCACCTCCGCGGGTGCCCTGGCCCTGGCCTGTTGGCTACATTCTCGGGTATGATGTCGGCCCTCGAGGCTAAATAGGAATTCTACCGTAGAGTCTGCGTTAGCTCGCCGATCTCTCCATCCATCAAAAGGAGGTACTGCTTTCTCCAAGTGTTGTTTGTGGTGCCTATCGCAGTGAGGCTGAGGGGCTGGAGCTTTGCAGGCTTGAGCTGTAGTCTTGACTTCATCACTTTCCTGCACCGTCAGATGCATCCATCTCACAGCCCTTGAACACTGCCCTGGAGCTGAGGGCAGCGACCCCATCCGGGTAAAGCTGTGGGTCACTGTACCGTCTAAGTCGTGAGGAGCAGGTGAGCTAGGGCCCCTCAGCCAGCGGGGCTTGTCATAGCTAGGGAGGTGTGGCCATACTGGCCCAGAACCGGGGTGGTGGAGCAGAGGCTGCGGAGTGTGTGTGCAGGAGCCTGAGCTTGGAGAATCGGCCACTGCAGCTTTGCAAGGCACTAGCTGGGAAGCTGAGGCAGGCGGGGCCAGGGGTCCCCATGGTCATCTTGGATCATGTCACCCCCTGGTGCACACTCCCTCAATAACTTTAAGGTGCTTTCCCAGAAGGCCTGGACTCCTTCACTGCCGGACATTCCAGCAGAGAAGCCAGTCTGGAGAGAGAATGTAGGGGAGAGAAAAGATGTAGGGGGCTTCTTCCCATTTCTCCTTCCTGCCCCTTGAGACTTCACCTTCGTCCTCCCCTCAGGTTTCCATGGGACAATCCTTGTAAGACAGTGCCCCCTCTTCTCTTAAGCAAGCCAGAGTGGGTTTCTGGGTTTTGCTTAGCATCGTGAACTCCCCTCAACGCATCTTTTCAGACTGGGATCCCACTGCTCCCCCAAATCCTTTACTCAGTGAGACTGGGTTGCTTGTCTCCCCAAATTATCCTGCTCCTTCTCTTCTGTCTTCCTGCCTCTCCCACCCACCATGTGTTCAGCGATCTCTGCAATGACTCTCCAAATGTCTCTGCCCTCTAAAGCTTCCCCCAATCCCCCAGGTGCCTCCCCGGAGTGCCCACAGCACTGACTCTGTCCCTCCCTGAGGGCACTGCTCCTGTATGTCATTTATGTTCTAGTAACCTCTTAGCTGAGCGCCCATACCTCCTTCACGTCTGTGTCTGACACAGCAACTGTTGGCTAAATAAACGCACGTGACTTTAATAAATTGAGCAATATTCATTGGAAAACACATTTAATTTCAAAGTAAACAAAAATGTTTACACTAAACTATTTAATTAGTGAAACAATTATCAGTGTAACAAGCTGAAAAATACAGCAACTTGATACAAGACTGAGGTAACAAAATACTTCACCAAAAATCTAAAGAATCCCACAGAGGGCTGATGTTCAGTGGTTACTGTGGATGAGACAATTCACAAGAATTAGGGAAAGTCCTTACACAACTGCATGCAGGGGGTCTGCCGGGAAAAAAGACAGCCCAGGAGAGTGCGACAGATTGAACAGGAGACAAATTAAAATGTAAAAACTGATTTTCAACTTACTTTGAATAATACATAAGAAATTGAAAACTACTCTCTATGCAACATTTTGAATGCTAAGTGGAAAACCATGCATTTTGGCACAGAATTTATTGAAGATTATACCATACTAATAAATTAACCACTATTGTTTCATTATTGAATGGTCACAGTCATTCAGAAATGGATAAAGAGATGAGTGGTTATAGAACTGACAGACGATCCATCGCTGCTGCTGCGAGCAGGGGTTTTGGGGCTGCCCGTGGCGCACACACACTTGTGCAACACCAGCGCCGAGGTGGTCCATGGGACGAGTTCTCGACACCCAAGGAGATGCAGCTCTCACTCATGCTGTACTTGTCTTTAACATTGAAATTAAAACCAAAAAACCTCTGAAGTAAATGCTGTGAGCATTCTGACCCTACCCTCCGGCTCCACCTCGGAGTCCTCACTGTGTTCAGCCGTAGCTCTGTGCCTGGCTGCTCTGTGCCAGCCAGTCGCTGGGACAGCAACTGGACTCTTCAATCTGTTGAGCTCTTTGAAGGCTTTTCTGGAGGAATCCGCACCTGGTTTCTACCCTGTGCTAGGAGGGAGGCAGGGTCTTGCTGGGAGAGAGGAAATGGCATGGTGAAGGTTATTTGTTCGTTGAGGGGTCACCTCCATGAGGGCAGGGCTTGGGTTTGTCTTGTTCTCAGACATTTCTATCCTGGGTGGAGCCTGGCACACAGGAAGCACTCACAAGAGATGAGAATCAATGGATGAATGGGTGGTTTCACACAGAGGATCTGTTATTTCAGAGGGACTCTTGTAGTTTGTTTTTTTTTTTTCTTTTTAAAACATGAAGTCACCCAACAGGCAGAATAATGTGGGGCTGATTAAAGTGCTTCATGAAAGTCACAAAAAATAAGTTAGGTTGTGTTTTTAGCAATGTTCACCTGGTTCTAAGCAACAGTAACGTGGATCCAGAGCTCTAGACTCCGCCTGTGGAATGGAAGCAGACCCTGCTTGCGAATGACTTCCTGTTTCCATGGACCATTTTTCCACCTGTACAGTGGCATCCTAAAAGATACACTTCTTGGGCTTGGGAGGTGGGAGGAAGACGATGAAAGAAATACTGGCCATATTGGTAAGAATAAAAAACACTTTATAAACTCAGTTGGCAAGAGAGAGCGGGTTCTTTCATAAGCAGAATCCCTTCAAGTGTCTTCTCTTTAGGGTCCACAGGGGACAGAGTGATGAACGGGCAGGCTTCTTCAGGGAGGGAAGGGAGGCCACACTGTCCCTCTGGGCACGCTCAGAACAATATTTCTACTGCTTTCCACCAAATCTATCCTCCACGAAGTTTCAGTTGTCAGAATGCACTTAGCTGACCTTGCGTTACAAAACGTGTTGGACTGAGAGAGGTGAAAATTACTCCCGGGGAGAGGGGAGTGAGCTGTGTGGGCGGCATCATGAGGATACCTGCTACCTACTCCACGGTTTGTAGATAGCATTCTAAAACTTTCATCCTGGGGTGCCATGATCTCTTTGCTTAACAAAAAATGATACAACATATGCATGCAAGACACGTCACCTTCAATGTTTTCACAGACATTTGTGCACCATGGCTAGTCAAAGAGCAAGACCCAGAAATGCTACCTTCCAGGGCCAGAATCTACCCGGGGACTTTCCCCTTTGGGGTTTTGTGCCTGTCCCCCTCTGTCCCTGGCTTGCAGGCCTCCTCACCTGCAGCTTGAGGGACAAACCAACACTGGAAAGACAATCAGCACTTAACTCACATGCCTGGCCCTGAGCCCCTGCTGGGAGAGAGCCAAGTGCCTTACAGCCTCATGTGCAGGACTCTTCTGGTAAGTTCAAGGTTCTTACCAGTTCTATGAGAATCCAAGCTAGGAATGTTTCCGGGAGGGGACATGGGATCAATCTCAATTTTAGTGAGAAGACCAGACACTTTGAAAAGAATTGCAATTGTGCTATTTCAAAATTAGGCTCAGAGGAGAACATTTGTAAAGACAAGGAAACTGTGTAAAGGGCAGGAAAGTACCTGATTTAGTGTGAGTCTGAAATTTTGAGGTTTTTGGATTGGCTTCTATAATTTCATGTCAGAAAAGCCAGGAGAGTCTGAAGAGTAGAGAAATTCAAGGAAAGTAGTCTGGCAATTTCATTCAAACTTAAGACTTAAAAAAAATTAACAGGTAGAATCATTTTCAATGTAGGTTAAAGTGTTAACACTGCACGGTTCTGGTGAGAGATGTCTGGAGTGTCTGCTGTATTCATTCGGCCTCCAGATGCTAATTTGAGCAGTTGGTTGGTATGGATTAGGTGCATGCATTCGACCCCAGCTGCGTGAGGGTGTGCAAAGCACCGATGACCAAGGTTTGCTGGTCTCAATTTCACCATCTGGAGTTTCTCCTGGCACGAAAGTATTCTAGATTTTGCTCTGAAGGAGGGTTAGTTACGGAGCATAGTAAGACTCAACCACAAAATAAGACCTGATGACAATTACTTTCCTCACCAATTCATCTGAATTTTCAGAAAAGTGGTCACCGTTTGATCAAAATACAGTGGTGGGTCCTTTGGTAGTTCTTAAGTCGACCTATTTTTATAGTTTATTGGTTAAGATGTTGTTTTGAAGCATCTTGCTCAGAAACTCTTAAGAGTCGTTTGGTGTCTGATCAGTGTGAGCTCTGAAACCACAACAGCAACAAGGACCCAGAAATTCAGTCTCTTTCAGAAAATCATTAAGAGTTTCCTTCTCAGAATTAGGACACCCAGATTAAAAAAAAAGAGAGAGGGGGAAAGAGAGGGAGGGGGAGGGAAGGAGAGAGGGTGGGGAAGGGCTGAAGGGAGAAGCTATGGTGATAAAAGCTACCATAAATAAAGCTAATTTTTATTCATTACTTTAAATAAAAATGTATTTGTGCAAAATAAAAGTCACTTAAAAGTATGACAAGGAGTGACAGATGAAGGACATTGTTCACCTGAAGAGCTCTCAGCCGAAAGCAGAGCTCGGACTGTCCCCTCCCCAGGGCTTTGCTCTCGTCACCATGGTCGTCAACAATTGTGCCCTTGGACTTGGATGATGGAGAACTTGCTGGTGACTGTGTTTGGGGGCAAGAATGGGGGAGCTTAAGGCCTCAGTGTCACTCAGCTCCCCAGTGTAATCAAGAATCCCAGTGGCCCTGCCCTGGCAGTGGAGGCAAAGGGGTGAGAGGATGGGAGCAAAAGCCTTGCTCGGGGAGAGGTTGGTGCAAAGTAGCTTCTGAGCAGCCGGTCAGGTCACCGTGCGCGCAGGCGGCCTCGAGAAGCTGGCAGAAAGCGTCACGACTTCCCATGCTGACCCGGGGGCGGGGGGAGGGGTGAGAAGAGCGGGGCCTTCAGACCCTGCGGGAGTGGGGCTGGGAGGAAGCAAGCAGGCCAGTGCCGGCCCAGTCCACGGTCCCGAAGCTGGGTCCTGCCTCAGAAGAGCTGACGGCAACAAGGCCTGGGAGGGCCCCAGGGGCCCAGGGAGCAGGCCTTCCGGATGAATAGCACCCATAGGAACAGAAAACAAGACACAATTTAAGGCATTGTTTGTTTACAGTAAAAGAATGCGAGGGACCCTTAACACAGAAGGAATCTGGGCTCTCACTCTGACCTTCCTCGGTGGACCAGCCTATCGCTTAAGGTTAAAGCAGGGCCTCAAAGAGAATGAAGTGTGTGATGTCACGAGTCTTGTGCCAAAATGCATGTTTCTCGGAGAGTCCACGCTCGCTCGCTTGCACGCACACAGACACGGCACGCACACGCAGAGGACGCTTCGGGGTTGTACAAAATCTGAGGCAGCCCTGTGGGCGAGCGACCCGGCACACTGGAGCCAGTCCCCGCCCGTCCCTTCCCTCCAGCCCTCACGCGGGGGGACGCTGTCCACTCTTTTGTGCAGGAGAAAGCACTGGGGACCCAGCGTGGGACGGATGCTCTCTGGTCGCAGCAGCAGCTGGTGGACGGATGAGGGCCCAGGGAGGGAGGATGGGTTGTACAGTCTGGGGACCCATCGTGGACCCGTGAGGCGGTGCTGCAGAACGGGGGTCATGGGGGTGGCTGGGCATCGGCAGGCGGACCCCCGCACCGGTGGAGCCCTCTGGACTGTGAGGCCTCGGCCGTGTCCCCTTGAGTCCAGCTCTGAGTCTCCCAGCACCCCACCAAAGGCCTGTGCCCCGGACACGCGCTTCGCCACCAGTCCCAGGCCGGCTCCCAGAGGCCTCTGAAGTCACGCTAAGTCCTGCAGAGACTTATTCAAATGACATAAGGTTTGCAGGTACCTAGAAGAGAAAGCTCAGCCTCTTGTCAAAGTTCTGACCTTTCAGGAGGGGACGGGGGTGGTCCCTAAGGGAAGGGTTCAGGCCTCTCCCAGTCAGTCTGTGAATGAGTGGGTGGTGGGGGAAGGGGAGAGGGCACAGCAGTGGTACCAGCCACCACGTGTTACGGGGCTGCTATGTGCCAGGCAAGGCCCTGAGTACCGCATCTGTATTGTGTCCTGAGTCCTCACAGCAACCCCAGGAGGCAGGTACTGGAATTGTCCCCATTAAAAAGATGAGGAAACTGAGGCTTAGAGAGGTGAAGTACACAGCGGGTGAGGGACAGGGCTAAGACACCAGCGCCCACGCTCTCAACCTCTATCCTTGGGTTAAAGCACAAGTGATTTTGGAGTGGAGAGCTGACCAATCCTGCAGGGTAAGCACATGCCTCTGGAGAGGCGAGGGGGTGGTTAGCGGGTGGCAGGAGTTGGCAAGTGGAAGCACAAGGAGAAGGGGGAAATTTGGGGATATCGGGAACCCCAAGGCTCCCCATGCTGTGTCCCCAGGCCCAGATCCCAGCTACCTTTACTGGGGGGACCACCAGCCCCAAGGTCAGGGTGTTTCTCCTTCCCCTCAAAGCTGCGGACACGCCCCCAGCCCCAGGCCTCCTCCCCCAGCACTGCCGTGGGGTTCCAGGGAATTTGATGAGAAGCAATTTCATCAAAAACAAATCCATCTTGGTAGCAATTTGGTCAAAATGATGAATTGGAAAAAATGCATCTCCTTGCACTGGGAGACAGTTATAAGAACGGTCACAGCAGCACTGTTCAGAATAGCCAAAAGCAGGAAATTATTCTTGGGATCACGGACAGAAGAACTGATAAAAAAAAATTACAAGTAAATGAATGACAGCTATGCACACTGACATAGAGGAATCTTAGGAACATACTGTAGGAGAAAAGCAAGTCACAGAAGAAACTAGACAGTTATGGTTCTATTCTTTAAAAAAAAGTTTTAAAAAATGCACCCCAGACAATACATTAAGGAACCAAATACATGTGTTCACATTTTAAGGGAATGGTAAACAAACAAATCAGGAGAGTGGTTATGGGGCATAGGTGAGCGGGAGGGAGACAGAATTACGAAGAAGCCCTTGGGAGGGAGGTGTTCCGAGGACTGGGGAGGTCCTGCCTTTAGACTGGGTGGTGGGTACACGAGTGTTTGCTTTATTGCTGTGGTTTACACCTTACGCATATGCTATCAATAAAGTTGATAGCTAGTATTCAGTGCTAGCACACACAATTTTAAGAAATGCAGTTCCACAAAAAAGAAAAGTCACCTTAGTCACTGAGATTTTCTACAGGAGTAGATGCATTTCTGTAATGCCCTCGTCGGAGCCCCATGCCATCACATGCAGGTAGTGTGGCTTATTTCAATAATCCTCTGCTGTGGAATATTTAGTTTTGCCAATTTTTTCTTATTACATAAAGCAGAGGGTGGGAACATTTGTTTGAAAGTAAATTAGAAATAAAAAGGGAGAAAAGTAGAAAACATAGAAGACCGTCTCCCTTAGGTCTAAAAACTGGACAAAAATACTTAAACGTTGCCAAAGCTTGTCATGGTATACCATGTTTGCCAGACGTGAAATTCAGTCCATTTGTCTTTCTGACCAAACACCTCCTCTACCAAGTGGGTTTGACCCACTTCCCTGCTACCTGCTGCACAGCTGCTGCTACCCTCAGGCTGCCTCCACCCCCAGAGAGCCAGAGGACACTTGCTCAGAGCAACCGTCCCTGCTCCCGGCTGCCCCCCACCAGGGCCACGACTGTCACTGTGGAGCAGACACCAAGGCCCTGCCTCTCTCTGCCCCCACCATCTGTGTGGCCCACCTCAGTCCTTGTCACTCCTCCGGGTCACCTGTGTGTGGCAGGTGAGCTCCAGTGCGATGTGCTCTCAGAGTGGCCCTCAGAGCTAAGGAGGGGCCCCAGGCATGCACAGAGTGACCAGGGCGGAGGAGGTCAGGACGCTCTTCCTCTCTTAACGTGACCTGAGGCAGCACCTTGTTCATCGCCTTGAGGTAACCATCAACCAAAGACCCTGGTCTCCCCATCGTGGAGATGGGCAGTTACATTTGCTCAAGCACAAAATACAGTCTAGAGACCGCAGAGCTGTAGTTCTCTTGTACGTCATTTTAGACATTTTATGGGCACCGACACGCATATAATAAATATGCACGTGTATTTTAATACAAATGAGATTGCCCTTACGCGTGTTTTTACACTTTACTTTTTCACTTATGTCTTGGAGCCCCTTTCAGGTGATCACACACAGATCAGGGGGTACACAGTAGGGGTTTACTGAGGGTCGCCGAGTTTCCACGTGCTTTTTTTTCCTCTTTCTATTAAGGACAATGCTGCAGTGGACATTCTCACCCATACACCTGTGTGTGCATGTGTGCGCATATGCCCCAGACAAATTTCTAGCAAGTGAGTTGAGGGACTCGAATGCAATTTATTTTCAGTTTCCCTGTGGTGCCTCAAGTTTACCCCTTTATCAGTCTTGTCCTACTGTTTTAGTTTGTCAAGGACTTTCTGCTAATTTCGCCGTCTAGCTTCTTATCGTGTAGAATTTGATCAGCTTGTTACATATGTCTTCATCGATGTTACAGATGAAAATCCTGAATAGGCCCAAACTGAGCACAGAATCATGGGACACACCACTAGAGACCTCCCTCTGCCTTATGAGAGCCGCTTTGAGGGGCCAGGAAGTCTGTGACTGTGTTGTGACCAGCACCACTGCAGCCCCTGCCCTCCCGGCCTCACACGCCTGCTGTGAACTCGGCACTACCTTCCTCCTCCTCGAAGCTGCCACCGTCTATTCCAGCCATGGTGCTCTCTCTCCAGACGGAGGAGAGGGACCCAGCTCCCCAGCCCCTCTTCCAGCTCATCCCTGGGGAACATGTCAGGGAAGCTCAGGGCTCCTGGCCCCAGCAGCCCACCTGCTGCCCGGGCTGGTGTGAGGGCTGAGCAGCCACCCCTCTAGCAAGCCTGGACAGCAGAGGCTGTGCTTCCAGGCCTCTGGCTTGATGGCAGGAGGCTGAGCAAGCCAGGTCCCCGCCCCCCGCCTCCCCCCCAGGAAGCATGCGGCGGGAGATCTCCGGGCCGGCAAAGTACAGACTCTGGTGTCAGGCAGACCGGGGTTAGATCTTACTCACCGTGGGGCCTTAAACAAGTGTCTGCCACTTTCTGAGCCTCAGTGCCCTCAGCATAAAACGGAGACAGTATGGGAACCTACCTCACAGGGATGTTGGGAGGATTCGGCCAATTCCTGCACGTAAAGCATTTCTCCTGAAGCCTGGTCCTGGGAGGGGCAGCAGTGGGGGGCGGGAGCAGAGCCTCAGGCAGGCATGGCGGACCAGAGGTCCTATTGGTTCAAGCATGCCAAGGGGCCGTACAGCCCCACTCACCAGCAGCACCATGGTTTCTTCTCAACAAATGAGCTATTATTATCGTTATTCCTAAGGGTTGTCGGGGGCAGGGAGGCCCTTTTGTCAGGTTGGAGTTTGCCCATGAATCAACTTTCGGGGGGTGACCTCAGTAGATGCTGTGGCCTGACCCTTGGGGCACTATCCCACCTGTAACCTATCTCTGATGGATGTTTCTGTGGCGTTTCCTTTAGTAGGAAAGACACAGGGGCCAGATTCAAAGTTCTAGTCTGAAGCTGGGCTTAGTTCCAAGAGGGGCAGGGGGTGCCCTGTCTCATGGGAAAAGGCTGATCAAAAGAGGGCACCTGGGAGCTTAGCTGATAGGCTCTGGGGGAAGGAGGGAGGTGTGTTTTCTATGGACCCTTAGTCCCGAGGGTGGGAGAGGGTATTTTAGGTAACAAGCAGGACTTTGGTGACTTTACCTGAGGCCTGTTGCTTTTACATGCGTCATCCAAATGCTTGTGCCACAGTATTGCATGAAACCGGGAACCAGTCTGGAACTTGTAAACATTGCCTGATGGGTAGAAAACCACTGGTTAAGAGGAAGGTCACGTGGGAGGGTCTGCCTGTGACTGTGGCGTGAAGATAAACGTGGACCTGGGTAACTAAACTAGAGAAAGTCAGGAGCAGCCCAAGGCAAGCTCAGGGCATGTAGAGGAGGAGGCTCCCGTGCTCCCCGCCTGTCTCTTTGGACCAGGGCTCTTAACCATTTTTCCGGCCATGGCGCCTTTGGCTCTGGTGAAGCCTGTGGACCCTTCTCAGAATTATGTTTCAAATGCATAAAATAAAATACAAAGAAAATTAATAATACTGAAATACAGTTACCAAACTGCTAAAAAATAAATGAGTGATATCATTCTCTATGTGCTTATTTATTAATGCGCTAATGACAAGATCTGGGGGCAGGTCTGATACTGTACTGTAACTGCAAAGAGCTGAACAAAAATGCTATTCTAAGATATCTGCAGTAATGCGTGATGTGAAAATATCCGTGGTTTCTCTTGCCGATAAAATCACAGGTATTGTGAACATTCTAGTTAGTAGTTTAATACTTATAATTAAAGGAATTAGAGGTCATGGGAAACAGAGATGTGATCTTTTTGCCACCCAAGCTCACAGACCTTTTGCATTCTATCCATGGACCTTGGCCACCTGCTGTGTCATATTTCCCTCTGCTTGGGGACAGTGCTTTCCTCTGGGCTCAGCCCCGAGAATGGCCTGTGGACCCCATGACCATACAGTCTTTAAGTCAAGCTGGTATAGGTACAACCTTTACTTCCTAAAGAAACCGCCTCTAATCTGGTCCCAGAGTCTTGCGGAAGAAACTCAGATGGTAACCAGCCTGAGGAAACACTATGACGTGTGCGTAGCCGTACGTGGTTCAATCACTCAGAAGCAGAGCAGAGGACTTGGCTCTCTCCATTCCCTGGGCTCCTTGAGGCTCTCACTTCTTTAATTCCCAGCTAACAACATTCAAACCCTGACCCTCCACCAGCACGGTCATGTGCATTACCTGGGAGTTTGTTAGAAATATAGAATCTTGGTCTCCACCCCAGATCCACTGAATCCAAATCTGAAGTTTTACAAGATCCCTGGGCAATCGTATGTACATGAACCCTGCATTAGAACATTCCGGTGAAGGTGTGAAGATGCTCAGGGGCTTTACAGCTCCAGTGAACTTGCCTAGCTAGGAGACCCAGGAAATCCAGGGTTTTGTCACGTGACATAGGCTGCCAAGGAGGTTAGCATGGCCTGTTCTGAACCTCAGTGCAGAACCTCTCCTTCTTCTCAGCATGGTCATGGGGGAAGAATAAAACCAGGAGGAACTGGGAGATGACTGGGCAAGTGAAAGTTGGAGCTTTTATAGAAGGGTTCTTCTCTGATTTGGCCTTGGAGCAGGACACTGCCAGAGTCTCACGGCACAGGCAACGCCGGGGTGTCCTTGAAATCTCCCAACACCCAAGACTCCTCCAGCCGCATAGTCACTGCCTCATCCAGCGCTATGTTATTCATTCCAGGACCCTGAGGCTAGAGTTCCAGGGGTGATGGGCCCCGGTAACCATAGGTGAAAAGGATTCCGGCTGCCACGTGCCATGCACACCGCTCAGTGGACACACCCACCACGATCTAAGCAGCTTTTGTGGACCAACGAGGGACCCTGTGAACATCAGAACCTAAAGCACAAGGAAAGCAGCAGCCTCAGAAGGCCCTACTGTTTCAAAACGCACATTTAGCAGCAGAAGAAAGAGGGCAGAGAGAAGCTGCAGGCTCCCAGCGCTGGCCTGCTGCCTACCTTTGTCGGGGTTATTCAGCTGGAAGATGTCCGGGTGCTCGGGGTCATCGGGCAGCTGCACCATCCAGCCCACGACGGAGACCTTTTTGCCAGGTGTGGATTTATACTGCAGAGGAACAACAGCACAGCCGTGAGGCCCACACCCTCCGCTCCCCGAGGAAGGCCGACCTGGGCCAGGCAAGGTTCCTTCCACTCCCGTCGCCTTGCCCGCTTCCACCCACCCCGCTGCACTTCGCACCAAACGAAGTGGCAGCACAGAGAGGCCTTTCGTGGAACGTACGTGTTTTCTGTCTGTGCCCCTCAAGGACTTGGCTCCGTAGTACAGGAGGGTGGATCCTGAGAGTATGACCCAGTACCTGGTCCACGAGGACAGCTGCAGAGGCAGAGTGACAATGTCACAAGTGGAGGGGCAGAGTCCCCCACTGCCTGACTAGAGACCCAGCTACATGGGTGGAACGGGGGGTCCCTCCTCCCGAGCGGTGCCAGCGCAGGCCTCATCTCGTCCCTGCCCGCCACCCCTCGGTGCCACTCCTCCCAGGGCCTAGGGGAGGGAGACTCCTCAGCATCTCAGCAGCCCTAAGCCCTCCCTCTCCTTTACCCCAAGAGCCTTTCCTTTTCCCACCTTGTTTAGGGCAGTGCCAAGGCATAACTTCTATGTATTCAGGTGACCTGAACCCAAGAATGTCCTGGGGAAAAAGAGTTTCAAAACATGGACAAGCTAAACCATAACCTAGAAGAACCATAATGTCTGCAATGGGGTGCTCTGGCTGCAAGCGGATGGCAGCGCTTTGAAAGCATTTATGGCTAGAAGAGGGGATGCCTGGCAGGGCCAAGCTGCAGGTGTGGCTTTTGTTCCTCTAGGCATGAAGTAGACTGCTCTGCCTCACGACCTACAAGGCTCCTCTTCACACTGGTGGGGGGCGGGGGACGGGGCGCGGGGTTGGTGGGGGAACTGCGTCACCTCAGATGGTGAAAGCACTGGCTTTCAGACCTTTTTGATGACATCCACAGGTGTGTACAACACATGTGCATGTGTATGTTGAACTGAAAGAAGCTTCATGAAACAATATTCACTTTTACTATGTGTAAGAAACTCCGACATTTTCCAGTCTATTCTATCCTACTCAGAAATATGGGTCATGACCCCCTGGATTAACTTCATCGCTCACCAGCGGGCCAACCAGCATCTGGACAATAGTGTCTCACTCTGGCCTCAGAATGACTGGAGCCTGGACCCGGTACAGCAGGGCAGCAAGCAGGTCTGTACAGCAGACCAGGTATAGGGCCTCATGTCACAGGACGCTTTGTGACACTCTGGGTCCAAGGGACAGAGTGTGGCCCAGGGCTGGGATGAAGACTCCTCTCCTCACCCAAGAACCACCAAGCACCCGAAGACAGGGGAGCTTCTAGAGCAGCACCTGGGCTAGGGGCCTGGCATCTTCACACTGGGCGCCGGTAGGAGGGGGCATCTCCAAGTGGCTTTGTGGGCAGTGGACAGGGGCAAGCAGCAGCCAGGGCAGGAGAGGAAGGCCAGAGCAGACACGGGCAGACGCTGCCTGGAGATGCAGCTCACAGGCGGGCTTGCAGGCATCTTGCCGTGGATGCTCCGTAGAACAAACAAAGAGGTCTTGGCAAGCGGCTGAGGGGTCACGGAGCCAGGGACATCTGGGTTCAGCACGTGGTGACCCGGTGGCTGGTGGGGGAGCCTGAGAGGCCTCCTGATTCCTTGTCCCTGTCCCTTCCACCACGCGTTTCATGATGCTGCCGCAGGGGGAGGGGATCTGCATCGGGATACCACCCAGGCCGTGCTGCCCGTCTCAGGCACAGTACCCACCCTGACTCCCAGGGTCTCCAGGCCTCCACCTGCCCTCAAGATAATCGCACAGTCCCATTCACCGCCTGCTCAATGTGTGCAGGGCCACACACGTGACAGTCCTGCCAAGTCCTCCAGGATGTAGGGACTATTTTATCCCAATTTACAGATGTGGAAACTGAGGCCCTGCCCACTCAGTGGCACAACTGGACTGGAACCCCGGTTGGCCGGTCTCTGGAGCCCATGCCCTCCCTGCTGCCCATGCCGCCTCTAGACAGATGTGCCTCTGCACTCACCGCGGGCTTCCGTCCTTCCTTGAGCAGAGTTTTCCTTCTCAGAGGCCCCTCCATGGTGGGGACCGCTGCCGAGCTCCCCAGCGTACAGATGCACGGGCCGGTGGGGCTGCAGGGGAGACCACCAGTCAGACATCGCCTTGGAGCAGCTGAGGTCAGGCACCCTCTCACCCACTGGGGCCCACGGGTCCCCCACTGCCGGGTCCATAATGGTGCCACAGGACAAGGACTCAACAGTGCTGGGCAAGGCTAGGGAGGGGAGGGCCCCGAGGGCCTGGAAAACCTGAAGGACGGTGGCCTTGGGCTCACTCACAGCTGAGAACTTGCACCTCCCTCGTCCTTCTGAGTGCTGAGCGGCTCTAGGCTTGGCGCCCACGCTCCCTGTAATCCAGGCCCCCAGCAGCACCCGTGCCCTATCCTGGCTTCCTCTCCACCTGCGGAGCTTGGGGCCTGCGCAGCACCTCCTCCTTCCTGTGTTGGCAGGAGCAGCGAGGAAGTGGGAGTGGAGGGGATGGAGTAAAAAGGGGGGCAGCGGCCCCAAACCCCCATGCCCTGCGCCTTTGCGGCAGGGCTCCTTTCTCCCCCTCTGCCATGGGGATTCGGGCGCCACCTACAGGTGAAGAGTCCAAGTGCAGCACAGCCCAGGCCGCTCGCCTAAGCACCCGCTTCAGCTCCCTGGATAGGCACCTCCCGTAGACACCTCCCTCAACCCTGCATGAAAGCCGAGCAGCGCTCCCTCCGCATCCCAGTGGAAGGCATCACCACCCACTGGCTGAAGGAGCCAGAAACCTGGGGGTTCTCTCCTCTCGTCAGTTCACCCCCGAAACCTCATCAATCCCAAGGACTCATTGATCCCATGCCCTAAATATGCCCATCTCAGCCACCCCACTCCCCCCACCTCAGGCCAGAACTTGGTCATCCTTTGAACGACTGCCCAATACTCTCGCCTGACCTCCCTGCGTCCACGCTTGCCTTCCTCCCACGCGCCCTGCACACCGTGGCCAGCATGACCTGGCTCTGCCAATACCCTCCCCCCACCCCCAGGCAACCCCTCCAGTGCCTTTGAGACCACCATCCTCTCCCCCTGCTGGACGTGGCTCTGGCCCCCCTCTCTGGCCTCACCTGCCACCCTCTCCCCCGCTCATTTCTTACAACGAGGACTTTCCTTCACTCCCCAAATCACCCAGCTCTTCCTGCCTCACGGCCCCATGGGCTGTCCCTTGGGCTGCAGGTACTCTTCTTACCCCTACACCTCTCTTCACTTTACTTGGCTGACTCCTATCACTCTTCCAGTCTTTTCTCCAGGGAGGCCTCCTCTCTGGACCATCGGCACCCGTGATTTTCTGTTCCGTTTCTGCTTTCCTGAAGCAACAGCCCTACAGGCTGAGGCAGAGGCTGAGTCCGTCTCGTCGGCAGCATCAAGCACAGTGCTTGGCACCCAGCAAGCACCATAGAGCTACTTGTCGAATAAATGATCACATGAATAAATGAATACCTGTAGACGCAGCTCCGGGTTCTGGGAGAATTCCGAACTGGAACCCGCCAGTTGGGCCCCAGCGTGGCATAGAGACGTCCCCTGCTTCAGAGGAAAAGGGTTGAGTTTTAGCAACAGCCTGGAAAGACCACTCCTGAAGGAGGCGAGGGCATCGCAGACTATGTGGTCATTAGCTCAGGAAGCCTCAGCCCCAACTCTTCCCCCAGCCTCCTCAGTCACACTGCAAGCACATCTGGGGCACATCTGGAGCTGCTAGGTTAGTGAACACAACACCCCTGGAGCCTCCACCAGGGCGAGTCCCCAAGTCTCCAGGTAAGTGTTTCCTTAACCTTTTAACTGAATGTTCACCTTTCTTCCAGTGTCAAGGGGATGACTAAAATCCAGGCACGCCCCTTATCCCAATGTGAGGTTGACAGAAAATGCTGTGTAGCCCAAATATTCCATGGTCAATCCAATTAAAAGCGCACAGACACGGAATTGTGGGCTGTCTTGCATGTTGGCCCAGGGTGGGGATGGGGTGGGGCATGTGTAGCATCATTATTCACCCGGGCACTACTGAAATCCTCCGTTTGCTACGTCTTCTCCATCGGACAGTCTCTTTGCTGGCCCCAGATGGTTCCCTGCAAACCTGCTCTGTGACCTGCTGCAGACTCCAAGAATTGGTGCTCCAGGACCTCTCCGTGGGCTGCCCATCAGGCCGCTCTCTCACCTGTAGTTCCCCAGCAGTGAGCCTTTCCAGGGGAAGACGTAGCTTCCAGGGTAGGTGGGGATCTTAACCTATGTGGGGGAAGGCTTCCGTCTTCCTCTCCTCTCTTTATCCTTTTCCTCTCTTGGCACAATGACTTCCTGTGTCTACTTGATCCTCCACCTTCTCCCCACCCCTGCAGCATGGTCTATCCCTGGGCTATAGCTTTCCATTGGCCAAACAATGATGCAACCCAATTTATAAAGCCAGACAAGGTCCAGACGTCCTTTTCAAGTGTTCCCTCTGTTGTCCACTGCCAGTCCCAGGTTGCCACATGTTCCCCCGTGGCACTGGACACCTGGGGGGTGGTGTGGGGTCATCGTCATTCACTGCAGCAGGTGTATCGCGCCGTCACCGAGCTCAGGCCCCTCCAAGAGGGGGCTGCGCTGCTCTCTGCCCCTCCATCCTCCACTCAAGAAGGAACTGTTCTTGATGACCATCTTGGGTTTGCTGTCCAGAAGCCCACGTTCAGGGCTGGTGGGAGTCTGATGGTCCTCCAGGTCGACTGCCCCGGGACCCTGTCCCTTTCGTCCATCAGCCACTCCCCTTTAGGTGACAAAGAGCTGCAGCATGTGCTTGGTCCCCCAAGTCCTCGAACGTAATGGGTCTCAGCCCATTCCCCACCCAACCCTCGTGACAGATGATGGTCACAGGCCCACCCCACCCGCACCACGAGCCGTGGCTCAGAGGTCCCGACACGCTCAACTCCCAGCCTACAGGCCACACTGACTCCTCCCTCTCTTCACGGCTGGGCATGACACCGCGGCACGTCACATCCCCATGCTTGAGCAGGCTGTGCAGAGCGCCAACAGACTGCCTCCAGGGACGCTCCCCCCCCACGCCGCCCAGCTGTAACCGGGATCGCTTATGAGTCAGGGCAGGGTCTGACAGTGAGCGTCTCTGTGCCCGGAGGATGTCTCCTCATTTGATCTGGATTCCCGCTCTGAGCCGCCGTCTGTTTGGAGTTGGAGATGGAGCCTCCCTTGGCAGAGCTGGATCCTCCGGCCCCTCCTTCTCCACCTTTCTTCTCATGAGTCTTTGTTCCTGGTACCCCAGGACAATGTGTGACGACAGTGGACTGTTCCACAGACGGGGCGATGTGGTTGGTGCTGCTACCGTCTCTCCGTCATTCTCTCCGCTTATTTGAGACACTCCATGGCTGCACACTTAACAGACGTTTGGCAGGACTGACGTTTGTTGACAGAGAGCTTTAAGTCAGCGTCTTCCAACCAGTCTAGGCTTTTAAGCAGTCTTTCCTCACGCTCTTCCTAAAGGATTGAGGTGCTCCCAAGGGCAGTGGACTGCTGGGGGGAGCGCAGGGACGCTGGGGGTCACAGGGCGGCTCACGGGAGAGTCACTAGTTAATGACCGCTCCTATGTGTCAGGCCATTGATTATCTCACGGGAGCTTTGTTTCAGCACCATCATCCTCCCCAGAATGGGGAACTGAGGCTCAGGGATGTGAAGACACTTAACCGAGGCATGAGCCAAGTAAGTCAGGATTTGAACCCACAGTTTTCAGGGTGGGAGAGAGGTTGAGTTGTCACATGGGGAGGAGTCCACCATGGGGACAGGGTCCTCGTTTGGAGCCAGCACCATGTGGGTGGCTTCCTGGCGTTCCGCTCTCAGAGGCACCCCTACTCACAGGTTCCTGCTGCAGCTCACACTGGGCAGGCTTTGTCAGTGTCTGTGAGGCTGGATGGCCACAGATTTGTAGACCCTGGATCTCCTGGGCTGGGGCCACCTCCCAGGTCCCTGGTCCCTTGACTCCCCCGATGGAGTCTTCTCCTGGTGGTTCTGGCTGCCTGACATTTAAGAGCAGCTGCCATTTATCGCCCGCTCATCAGGAGGTGGCTAAGCGCTTTCACACACCGTTCCTCCCAGCTCTGTGAGGGGCGCTGTTCTCACCCTGTCTTAGACGAGGAAACTGGGGCTCAAGGAGGTGAAGCCACCCACTGGCCTGTCACTAGGGATGGAGACACAAGTGCTCACATAGGGAGGATGTCTTTTCCACATGAGCCAAGGGCCTGCATCAGTCAAGCTACTCCAGGTAGGGGAGGTCAGAGCCTGCTCCACCTGGAGCCTGGGGAGTAACGCTGGCTTTGAAGTGCAGTGTAATGGTGAGTTTTCCCCAAGGCCAGCTTTTAGGAGACTATAGGCAGGGTGGTGGCCAGCCTTCCCTCCCAAGGCAAGCACTGCAGGGCTGGAGGAGGGCTGTGACAGGTGGGGCGGCTCTGGCTGGGCCCAGGCGGGCTAGCGTCAGCACAGAGGAGACAGGATCTTCAGCCACTGGAACCACTTCCAGTGCTTTGAGAAGATTTGTTATTTGAATGTTCACGGCCAGAAAATGCAAAATGAGTGGGCAGTGGTATCTGGTGAACTCTAGAAATAAAGGCATTTCTCCAACCGACGGGGGCTCCCAACTCCAGAACCACAGACACCTTTCCCAGCAACATACTGGGAACAAGTGGCTGAACAGAATGTATCCCAGGAGGGCCATTCTACTGCTCCCTCTCAGGGACAGATCTTGAGGAGGATCTGGGGGAAGAGGGCTGCAGCAGGCCACTCTCCTCATGGGGAGTCTGGTCTGGGGAAGCTGTGGGCTGGCAACCAAGTAGAACGCCTCAGTCCCAAAGCGAGTTCAAGAAGAAGAAGAAGAAGACGATGATGGGGATGATAAAGATGACGATGACGGGGATAGGGTGGTGACGATGAGGAGGATCAGATGACGGGATGATGGTGATGGCGGAGAGGATGGGTACCAGGCAACGTGCTAAGCAGTACTCGTTCACTATCCTATTTAATCACACAATACTGTGGGGCAGGCACTGTTCTTATCCCCACGTTATAGACAAGGAGTCTGAGGCTTAGAGAGGTGGAGTAACTTGCCCAAGATCACAACACAGGGAAGAGGAAGATGGTTGGTGCCGTTAAGGTGGAAGCAGCCAGGGTCCTGCTTAGGCCAACAGCATCATGAGAATTCAGACTGGCTGAGGCAGGTCTGAAAGGCATCTTCTCCTCAGTAGTTTTCTAGGTACACATTAGGTGGTAGGTATCTTGGGGGTTAAATATCAGAAAGCCCTGAGTCTCTGTTGCTGGTCCAGGAGTGGGGAGCAAGGAGAAGTCTTGGATAATAATTACATGAGGCCTCAGTAATCTTGTCTTAGCAGAAGTACCAGTCCCCCCACCATTCTTCTATCTCAAGGGCACAGAGCCCCTGGTACGACTCTACCTGTGGAAGGGTTCAAGTGATGCTGTTCATCAACAGTGTCCACCTGTACCAGCAAACCCTTGCTGGGAAGCCGTCCCATTGGACCAGGTCTCGGTCCTTGCCGCTACCTAATGACTTACCCTCATCTGCAGGCAGGAAGCTGCCACCCTAAGTTCTGCTGGGCCTGGGATGTCCCTTCCTGCAGTACTTGTTAAAGGACTTCTGCTGCCTGGGAATCACATTTTTCTCTGGGTAGCGTCCCTGATCCACTGAGTGGGTCCCTAGGAGCCATATCTGCACTGCATGCTTAGCTGAGGGGACAGAACCACCCTTGATCCAAGCCAGGTCAATCAGGTTTTCTCTCTTGGCAATTAAGAACCAGATTCGAGGGCTTCCCTGGTGGCGCCGTGGTTGAGAGTCCGCCTGCCGATGCAGGGGACGGGGGTTCGTGCCCCGGTCTGGGAAGATCCCGCATGCCGCGGGGCGGCTGGGCCCGTGAGCCATGGCCGCTGAGCCTGCGTGTCCGGAGCCTTTGCTCCGCAACGGGAGAGACCACAGCAGTGAGAGGCCAGCGTACCGCAAAAAAAAAAAAAAAAAAAAAAAAGAACCAGATTCGAGAGGCTGACAGTCAGGCTCTGTGGCTCGCTGAAGCTATAACACGTAAACTTGGGAGCTATGAGGCATCAAGCTTCCCCAGTGTGAGCTGAGAGGTCTAGAAATCTGGGGTGCAGAAGGAGAGGAGAGCATAGCAGGTATGCATAGAGAAGGGTCAACACCAGATGGAAGGAGGGTCCTGTCCACCTTCTAGGACCTGACTCTGAGAGGTTGTAGGTGCTGGACAGAGAGGTTGTGGGCAGAGATTTCTCAGCTACCTGTGAAGCCGCAGCAGCTAGCAGACAGGGCCCAGCCCTTGTCTGTCAGGGTCCAAGCACAGGATCAAGCAAAAGGCCAGGGACTGTTGCCCGCTCTTCTCTCCCAGAGGGGCCTGAGCTCCTGGGTGGAGCCTAACTCACCAGACGTCAGTGTCTGATGCTGACAACAAGGCAAGAGATGTCATCTCTGGGGGAAACCAAAATCAGAAGCTTGGCACATCACCCACCTGGGCTGCCACCCAAGGCAGAGCAGCAGA